GGGGTCCTGGACATCACCGTGCTGCGGAGACGGGCGGTGCAGCCCTGGATGGAGGGACGTATCGGTGACACCGATCCCAGGGCGTGGAGTCCAAATTTGGGACAAAGCGAGACTGAAGAGCGTGGGTGAAGGGGACTCATCCTCATACGCGTGGCCCTTGGCCTCTGCTCTGCCCTGCGAGCCTTGTCCCGGGGCACTGGGCTTACTGGGGGCTGTGCGGTGCTTGCCCAGGCTTGGACAGCCAGCTGGGAAGGGGACAGGGAGGAAAGTCAGGTCCTGCCCCAGCCGGATGGGGAGAAAGGGAGAGATCTGGGCTCCCCCAAGGCTCAGACTTCACCCAGTCTGGCTCCAGCGGGTCTGGTGCAACGCCCTGCACCCATGCACCGTCCAGCATCTTCCACCCGTGCACTGTCCAATGCCTTGCACCCATGCATCACCCAGCACCTTGCACCCATGCATCACCCAGCACCTTGCACCCATGCATCACCCAGTGCCTTGCACCCGTGCACCATCCAGTACCTTGCACCCGTGCATCACCCAGTGCCTTGCACCCGTGCATCACCCAGCACCTTGCACCCGTGCATCATCCAGTGCCTTGCACCCATGCACCGTCCAGCGCCCGGGGCCACGTGCCCTCCCTGCATCGTGCCCACGCTCAGTCCCCTCTCTGACCTCCCAGGTCTGCACCCCTGCACCCAGCCATGACCCGGTGTCCCCGGCTCCGCAGAGGAGCCGGCGGGTGGGCCCCGCGACGGCCGAGGAAGGCGCCGCCGTCCCCTGTTGCCACGCAGCCCCTTAGCAACAACCGGCCCCGCTTCCTCCAGCCCTGCTCCATCTTCCTCGTTACTTCTTGCCATAATTACCTCCAGGAGCATCCAAGAGCTGCCAGAGGGGTGAGCTTTTTTGACAAAAAAGAGGAAAAAAGGGCGTGAGAGGGGCTTAGCAGAAGTCTGCATGTAAGTATACGCATGTGTGTGTGTGTGTGTGCATGCATAGAGGGAGAGAAAAATGGTGTGGGGCATGGGATGTGCATGAAGTATTTAAAATCTAACCAGGCTGGCTCAGAGGGCATCAGAGACAACCCCTGCAGCCCGTGTCACTCGGCATTTGCAGGAGTTAAGGAGATTGGAGGCAGCTGCCAAGCGTAATCCGCAGGGATCGGTGCCACCAGACCCACCCAGGTGCTGCTGCCCC